ATTACACAGGTGTGTTAATAAAGCTTTCCTGTTTGTTTGACTTTCATGTCATAATACTTTGCTTCACGCTTTGAGAGAAAGTATCCATCTTGGTCCTGATGGTTCTAAACTCCACAATCAAGGCATCATCCAAACAAATCTTCATAGCTAGAAGTATATGTTCTCCCGTCCTACCTCAGCCCTTACACATCTGCAACGAATTCACCTGGGTGTTTTATTTCTTAGTTTTGCGTTTGTTTTTTATTTTGTCGTTGTTTTGAGACAAAAATTTCACTATGTGAACTTTGGCTAACCTAAAATACACTACTTACTCAAGTACAAACATACACAATGAAACCCACAGTGAAACAAACACACACACAGACACTAACCCCGAACACACTAGAATACACCCATACATAAATAAGGGCATGTAAATACACATACAAAATGAGTCAAGCAAGCAAGCAATGGAAAGTTGACTGTTTGTTAGTTAGTCTGGGTTTTTTCCTTGTTTATTTTTTTTCTAAACTTGTTTTCACTGTGCATAGCTCTGGCCATCCTGGCGCTGGCTTTGTCCACCAATATAATCCTGAACTCGTTGAGATCTGCCTGCCTCTGCCTCCCAATGGCTGGGATTAAAGACATGTGCCAGCACGCCCAGCAGAATCTTGACTTTATAGTTCAGGACTTTTGATTCCACAAGATCTAAAGTCTAATTCAATCAACCCAAGTAGGAAAAATCAATCTTCATAGGATAAAGTGGGTGGAGACTCATTGGACCAATCAAACAGAAACTTGTGGAATGGAAGTGGGGCTACATGGGGAGTGGCAAGGAGGAAGGTGTATAAAAGCAGTAGAGGAGCCATGGTAGAACATCAGAGTCCTGGAGCCTGCAGGCACTGCCTGACCTAGCTGGGAACAGGAGCCTTGTGACCAGTGTTCATATCAGGTAAGTCACTCATCTCCACATGGAGGCCTCTTGCATGCTGGGTTAGCCTTATCACCATCAAACTACAGTTACATTTCCAATTTAGAATTTTTAGCCTTGGTATATAATTTGGTTTTAATGAGAAATGGACATTACATGGGAATTTACATGTAAGTTTCTTTGTTCTGTTGAGTTTTTAGAGACAGGGTCTCAAATAATCAAGGTTGGCCTTGAACTCTATATTTTTCTGCCTCTGTCCAGAGTTCTAATATCATTCTGGAATTTCAATTAAGATGTTAAATTAGAAAGTAGTTTAAGCCTTTACAGTATCTTAAACTATGTTTCACAGATTATGGTTTTGCAGTTAAATGAACTGAAAATTTTCTCTTAATTGTCCTCTAGGAACAGTGCTGGGGATGGCTTCATGCAAAAACCCATGTTCCAGCTGCTCTGGGAACGAAGGTTATAGAAATGTGGTTTCTCAGCTTTGTCTACTTGTTTGAGATCTTCTAAAGGGAAGACACACACACGCACACACACATACACACACTTATCTATGTGTGTGAATATATGTGTGTGTGTGTGTGTGTGTGTGTGTGTATTTAATATATACATGAGATGGGAGCCATGTAGCATATAGCAGGCACACCTGAAAACTAGAATTAATGTCCTAAGCAAAAAAGATCACATTCCAGGCTAGAGTTGGCTGCATGAAGAAAACTTATCTTTACATAAAATTAAAATGAAATCTAAGACCTGGGAATGTAGCCCTGTAAGCCCTCACTGGTCTCTAACAGGATGAGGAGTAGTGCATGCAGACAGGCTTCTCATAGATTCACCTCAGTCCTTCCCAAGAGGGATCAGTCTCTTGAAAGGACAATAAGGAAGGGTTGGCCCTGTGACATCAGCACTACATGTCCTTGAGGTCCTAGAAATTTATTCAGTGTCTTTTTCCTGTAACAGCAGTCTAATCAGATTGCATGCTCCTCCATAACCATTGCTCTTACTAGGCATGAGATTCAGAGGAGCAGAGGTGGGTAGCTGGTGGGACAATGGTTAATGTGTTCCTGTATGGGCACTAATAAGAGAATCCACATGATGAGAGTGATGGAAGTATGGCTTAGAGACCACCAGATTGGATAATTGGACAGTATGAGTTCTCCATTATTGCCAGAGCACGGACTCTAGCCCTTGGGTTCCTGTGATGTGTGAGAAATAGGAATTTTCAGAACTTAGGCTGAAACTATGTATCTTAAATGCTTCACAGGTCCCTTCCTACTGAATATCAGGATGAACATCTACCATCCTCCCACACTCCAGCAGCTGGCCATGCAGGGGCTGCTGAGGAATGAAGCCTTGGCCATGTCTGTTCTGGACTGCATACCCATTATGCTTTTCCCACCACTGTTCGAGGAGGCCTTCAAAGGCAGACACACAAAGATATTGAAGGCAATGGTGGCAGCCTGGCCTTTTCCTTGCCTCCCTGTGGGAGTACTGATGAAGACCCCTGAAGTGGAGACCTTGCAAGCTGTGCTGGATGGCATAGACATGCTGCTGTCACAGGAGACCCGTCCCAGGCAAGCAAGGCCCAACAAGGCTAGAAGAGGAAACACTGGGCTAGTTGTAAGACACAGGTGTGGTCAGGGAGAATGGGGTCAAAGTAGACAGAGACTTCTGAAGTCATGGAATTGGAGGTCTGTGGAACTAGTGTTTAAGTTGAGAGCAGACATAAATGACAGTCAGGAATAGAGGACAGCTCAGAGTAGATTTAGCCCTAGCAGGATGAGACTTTCCCTGTGTGTTCTAATTGTAGAAGAGACAAGTCAACACCAAGGGGAGGGACGCAGGGCAGGTCTCCAGATGCAGCTCAGGCAAAGCGTCCTTGCCTGGCAGGTGTGAGGTGCCATGATAGAGCTGACATTAGAATAGTGAGATATATGCTGCCTCTAGTATGGTTTCTGGTTTACATTATGAAACTTTACCTTTTCTCCTCACAGAAGATGGAAGCTTCAAATGCTGGACTTAAGGAATGTACACCAGGATTTCTGGGACGTGTGGGTTGGAAGAGAGGATGAAGCCCACTCAGAAGATTCTGGGAGAGAGAATCAAGTAGTAAATTCCCTTCATACATATGCCCTGAGGCAGCCTTTGAAGGTGGTCACTGACCTGAGCCTCTGCTTCCATCTGCAAGAACACCAAACATGCTTGTTGCAGTGGGCCCAGCAGAGAAAGGGCTCTGTGCAGCTGTGCTGTCTGAAGATGCAGATCTGTGACTTCCCTGTGGAGACCATCATGGCAGTTTTGGACACTTTCCAGCCACACTACATTGAGGAATTGGAATTAATAACAATTAAGACCCTGTCTTTTCCGAATTCCATTGCTCATTGCCTTGGCCAGATGAGAAACCTCCACAAATGCCATCTAAGTCTCAATGCCTTGTTCGTGGATAGTGCCGCTATTGAAATGTGTCTTCACAAGTTGCTTACTCAGTTCTCCAATCTCAACTCTCTCCAGCATCTCTACCTGAATGGTGTCTACTTTTCCACTGACAACGTGAAACAGTTGTGCAGGTAAGGCATGACGGAAAGCTGCAACTGCCATGTCAGCAAACCCTTTCCTTTCCTTTGAGTATTAATGGGCACCTGAAGTCTACCAGCCACAGTGGAGTTTACAGTGACAGACTCATTAAACTATCCAAGTGGGTTGTTATTTTCTTAGGTGAGCTCTCTTGAGTTGCCCTTTCATTGAGGAAAGTTTGAGCTAGGGCAGGAGATATATGGAGAGCCGCCTTGCAAGTATGTCAGTTGCATCAGTGGGTGAGAGGCAGTGAGTGATCTTTGGGTTTTTCCCTTTGGGATCCTGTTTAATCTAATGAAAGGGAATAGAACTGAGCAGTGGGACCTGAGCTGGGGAGAAACGAAACATAAACAATTTCTAGGGGAGTTTTGTATAAAAACCAGTTTGTTCTTCTATTGACATCACTGTCAGCCTTAGTTCCCCTGAAGGAAAGGATGATTTGAACATAGTTTGGGACTTAGTACATGGAAATGGGATACAGTGGGTTGGGGGTCATTAGTTTAAAGGGTAGAATAATAAAATAGGGGATAGAGGTTGTGGTAGAGAGTAAGGACAAGGATGAACCCTTGGGCACATGGCAAGATGTCTCTGTGATGTTCCTTTCTGGGTATGCCCTCCTAGCATCAGGTAGCAAGCTATAGATTTTTGTTTGACAGTGTGAGGATGGGAAGATGCAGATCTGTGTTCTGAGACCATCCCAGCTGATAGCACTATACCTCAGGAGACAATGATATGACCAGACCCCAACAAGCTGTATCTTGAGTGTTGATCTTCAGTATGAGCATTGACTAACTTTGCATATGTGGTCTACCTGTCTCAGTGTCAACTTTACTAATGTCCTCGAACCTCGTGAGAAAGAACTAATTTTCTGTTCTTTCCCTAGATGCCTGATGACCCCGTTGGAATCCCTGTCTATCACTCTCTGCCATCTCTCACTGTCAGACTTCAAATTCTTGTCACAGTGTCCGAGGCTCTGTCAACTGAAACACCTGCATCTCAGTCGTGTAGAGTTATCCACATCACATCCCAAAGGTCTGCGGCGACTCCTAGAGAATGTGGCAGATACTCTGCAGACACTGGAGTTAAAGCGCTGCAGCTTGGAGGACTCTCACCTCAGTGTCCTCCTGCCTGCCCTGAGCCAGTGCTCCCAGCTCACCAGGGTCAATTTCTGTGACAATGACTTCTCCAGTGCTGCACTGAAGGACCTTCTGCAGTGCATGGCCAATCTAAATCAGCTGGCTGTAGAGCTGTACCCTGCCCCTCTAGAGTGTTATAATAACCCATGTAATATCCTCGTGGACAGATTTGCCCAACTGTGTCAGGAGCTCCGGGGCATAGTCATGGCCAAAAGGCAGCCCAAGACAATGGCATTTGCTACAACCATCTGCATTGAATGTTGTCAGCGCTGTGTCTATGACATGGAGACCAAACTTTGTCCATGTTGGCAGTAAACAGGAGACGGCTGCTTCTGGATGCTGAGAAATCAAAGTCAAGTGGAAGGACATTCACCAAGGGGTTCAAGAACAGGTGGTTTTAGACACAGTTTGGTGTTTTAGAATATTTGATTTCTTTGTGAACCCCAAAATTTTTGAACTCAAACTACCTGTTTCCAGTTGTAAAGGTGCGTATCTCCTGTACAACACCTTTAAAACAAGAACTTTCTGTCTTTGTAAACAGTAGGATGTGGTGTGGCTAAACCTTAGCACATTTCTTTAATTGAAGAAATTTCTGTAAACAGGAGATACATAAAGTTAACTCTAGGCCAAGAGGCAGAGCAAGAAACTAGCTGATAGGGAATTAAGTAGAAAGGAGAAACTTAGAGAAAATGATATTTAAGACAGCATGGGAAAGAAGGGGCTTTTGGCCTTCGGCTTTTGGGTTTCTGCTTTTTCCTCTGGGATATGACCTATGTAGGAAGGTCAGCTAGGTGTTTTCTCTGCTTCTCTGAGCTAGCAAGTTATCACCCCAGCATCTGGCTCCTTAGTCTATTTTGGTAAAATGGACTGGATATAATTTTGTTTATAAAACAAGGAGTGGGACAAGTCCACAGATAGTTTACTCCGGCTGGAGACAAACTGAGAACTCATTAGATTTTGTAAGTCATTCGGAAATAGTCAAGAAGAGAGTTAAGGATGGGAAATACCATAATAGAAACCTTTAGAACCTTGTATAATGCTACTCAAGATGGCAAAAAAAAAAAAAAAAAAAAAAAAAAAGAAAAGAAAAAGAAAAAAGGAAAAAGGAGAGAAAAAGCAAAAAAAAAAAAAAAAAAGGCGTCCTGCAGGCCTCAACCTCAAATTCAATTCCACGTCATCAGAGGAGATACTCATTACAGAGCAAATAAAAAATCTGGAAGGGGGGCAGGGCAGCCATTAAGAGCAGTGGGTGTACTTCCAGGTGACCAGGTAGCCACATGGCAGCTCACAACTGTAACTCCTGTTCCAGGGGCTCTGATGCCCTCACACCCTATGGAGGCAAAACACCAGTGTACATAAAATAAAAATAATAATGAATTAAAATAAAAAGATTTGGAGGGCCTGTAGAGAACCAATGCTGCAACCAAGGACCATGCAAGGACCTGAGCAAGACTCCTGCTCTGATGTAGCCCATAGGCAGCTCAGTCTCCATGGGGTTTGTTAGGATTGTGCAACAGAGTTACATGGCAGGTTCAAAAATCATGCCACATGACAGGTTCCATGTGGGAGGTTTATTAAGGGAAGGGGGAGAAGGGAAGGGAAGGGCAAAAAAGAAGGGGGAAGTTTTCATAAGAACCCTTTTCATTATTTTATCATTCTGACATGATACATAATCAAAACTGCAGTTTTCTTAATTAGCTAAAATAGTATGACTTAGTGTCCTCCTCAGATCTGCTTCATCTCTTCTGGGTCCAGGTTAGGGTGAAAGTCCTGGAACTGAGAAGCTGAGCCTCTGCTTTCACCAGCTAATAATTGAGAATCTTGAACTTTCACCTTAAATTTTTTTTTCTTCTTTGGTTTATAAGAATTATAAGGCTTGAAACTCTGTTTATATAAAATATTAATACTGAACCTCCATGTGTTTGTATACAAGAACTTTTGTTGCTGGCAACCAAAATTTATAACTTGGAAACAATACACTTAAATTGTTTGCATTGATAAAATTTGGTTTAAACTTTTAAAATTATGGTTTTACTTTGTGACTTCATTCCTTAAAAAAAAGGGCAGTTTATTTTGATATTGCAAAACAGATTTCTTCTAAAAATGTGTTCATTTCAATATTGGAAAAACAGGTTTTAAAAAATATGTTTAAGGCTATAAAACATTTTAAAGTTTATCAGGTAATGACCTTGGGCATTCTAACAAGGAACTTGGAAGAGTTTCTCAATCCTTTGGGGGAGGACAAAAGACTTTGGTATTTATTTTGTTAATTTTACCTAATAAAACTAAAACCTGGTTTTTAAGACAGGATAGGTGTTATATGAAGTCTTAATATATTTAATAATCAATAATCAGACATCAAGATATATAGAACATAGTAAGCTTACATTTTCAAAACAAGCAGAGAAAACTATGAAACTCATTTTTACCCCGTTTAGCTGTAATTTCAAGGGAGGAATATATAGCACTTGGTCTGGGTGCCTACATGCTTTCTGAAAGACTATTTCCCACTGCAAGGAAGGTGGGAAGGTGGGAATTTGGGAAGGTGGAAAGTTCCTTCTGGCGGCCAGCCCACTTTGAAGATGGGCCATTCTGAGCTGCAAAAACTTACCATTTTTCTTTTCCTCACATCAACTGAAAGACTGTGAGTTCTAGTCTTAACTTCCCTAAAATGAGTCAGAACCAAGAAGTCAAGGGGTTTGGAAGTGGTCTGTCCCATATCGTCAGTCAGTCTTTTCATCAAAATGAAACCAAAGAAATGAAACGGACAATTTCAACAAACAGTTAATCACACAGAGATGGAGCCAGAAGTCTCAGGCAAAAGTGAAACTGAAGACAATAAATCACAGCTTGTACTGTGCTAATTTCCCAGGACCAAAACTTAAATCAAAGGAGCAAAAAGATATGTGGCTTTGAACAAATTAGAGTCAAGCATTCTCAGGTAGACTGAAAACCACAAACAATCACAGAACTGAAACAGTAGCTTCTGGCACAAAACCAAGCAATAGACAATTAATCACAAACAGAAACGAAGTGAAACCAAAAACCTGGCTTTTCCCAGACTTCTCTGCCACAGAAGTTCCAGAGAGGCTAAAAACTGATCCCCACTCCATCTTCCCTGCCACAGAAATTCCAGAGGGACTAAAACTGACTGCACTCCGGCTTCCCTACCACAGAAGTTCTGGAGGGGTAAACTAATTACTAATGAGAGGGTGAGATGTCTCTGGCACCCCTTGCGAAGATGACTGTCTGGGACCATCTTCCCGAAGGTGTGACTCTGCTGCCAGAAAACCAAAAACAAACAACAAAAAACTTAAGACAGACAGACAACAAAACACTTTCCCTCGGGACTAAGCTCTTCAGGTCGGGATGCCTGGTCATTATGATTCCTCTGACCTCCATGGGCACTGTATGTTCTTGGTGCACAGACATCCACAAAAACAAGAATTGTAAAATATGTAGGAAAAGCTAAATTCATGCCTCTCATATAGTGGAAGGAGAGCACTGACTCCTAAAGTTGACCTCTAACCTCCATAAGCAGGCCATGGCAGGAATGATGTGCAGAGACATATGAAATAAATAATGTTCCCATACTTTCTGGGCTAATTCACCTTGTAATGCCAGGTTTACGGGACCCTCAGAGACCACCAGGAGAAGACTTGATGCAATTGCAAGAGAGCTTTATTACAAATCAATTGAACACCGGACCCAATTCTCACTGACGCAGCAGTAGAGAAGTGGGACTTTGAGCTCTGAGTGAACAGCATTTTTAAAAGGAGAGTCTGTGAGCAGGGCTTTTTCATGACAGAAAGGGGGGGGGAGGGAACACAAGCCTTGGTGTTACAGAATTGGGTGAAGTTTAGCAGGGTGGGTTGGCCTTTTCTGAGGCACACAATCACAATGGCTAAGGCATTTAATGACAATGGCTATTTTTCTAAACCATATCTGAAACATTGGGGAGAATTTTCCCACCCAATTTCCAACCTATTCCCATTAATTATTGCCAGGGAGATTATTATCTCTATTTTCTATCAAGTATTTATGCTGTGATATTTCCTGGAGGCTGTTGCTAGGAGACTTAACTTTGTTTTCTGCCAGGTGCACATTTTGTGATTAATTTCCTGGTACCTGAATTCAGCTCCCAGTCAAGATGGCTCTTTATTTCAAAATGGAGTTATACTCAGGCTAACTATACCCAGGCTAACTTAATCTCTTCATTTCCCCCTTTCCATGTACCTGAAGAGGCCAATCTTGGGTTCTTATTGTTCAAGGTCATCTTCAAGCTGAAGGTATTGGGTTCTCATTACCATTAACTGTATAGTCCCTAGTCTTTGCCTAATATTCTAACAACTTGTTAAGCAAGCGTGATCCAAAAAAAATGATCAAAAGAAAAGATTCTGCCTTTGAGCTGCTATAACTCTGGCTTTGTACATCCAGTATTATATTGCAATATTAGTTTCTGCTTCAGCTAAGCAATCCCCAAGATAATAGCTCATGTCAGGGAGCCCCCATTTGACCTAGCATTTCAGCCTGTTAGGTGAGATTTGGGCTGAGGCTCTCGTCTTCTGAAACTGCTTCAGTGCTGACAATAGGACCGTTGTCATCAGGGGCTAGGAAGGCTGAAATGCCAGCCAAAGGATGGGCAATGGGGCAGTCCTCAGAAGGGTCTGGTTAGTTGATCCACCTGAAGAGTCAAGAAGCAATCATGTCATCTTCCTGCAAATTCAGATCTCAGCTTGCAGTCTCAACCAGGTGAAAATCTGCTGAGACAAATTTAAACTAGAAACAGAAATTAAAATTTGTCTAGTAAATGGGAAAAATGAGGAATCCCAAGACTAGGGAAAGACTCATCTGAGGTCTGTTTAAGCTATTTCAGATTCAGGTCTCATGACTTTTTGATTTCCTGAAACTCATATAAATTTTTAGTTTGCAAAACAAAATATATAAAAAGACTCAAAACTAATATGTTAAAAATATTTGGTGAATAACAGGTAAAACTGCATCCAACGGAATGAGCAACAATTTAAGTGTGTCCATGCTCTGAAACTCTAACATTTTAACTGTGGGTACAGCTGTTGGTAATCAGCCAGCATGCCATTTCTTATACATTCAGCATTTACTTTTAGTTTCCATCTCAATGTCACATAGGAAAGTTAGGCAGAAATACATTAATGACTTTAGTATTAAACTCTGAATGCTTGGACTTACTTAATAAAGCAACTAGAAGAAATAGATTTAAATATTTTTAAATCCTATATAAAAGTCTATCTCAGAAATGGCAGATATTAAAAATATCATAGTAAAAACTCTGGCTT